ATAAGTGCCTTATTCACTAAAATTTTTGGATGTTACCTATCCAAAAACTCTGAATTAGGGAACTTTCAGCTTCCTTTTAGTAAACATATATCTTTTAGACAAAGGATATCTCCAGTTTACCTTCATTTCTCCATGTATGGGCTTGTTGGGAGATTATCATTGACAGATTACATAAAATCAAAGAGCAAACATCGTCAGAGCAATGTTGGACTGAGCGTTTGAAATGCAGCTGGTCTCTCAGCCACGCAGTTAGCGAGTTGTATGCTGCAGTGTACTTCTTCCACAGAGTAAAGCAGATGTCACCGTAGGTCTTTGTGGTTAGACGAAACAAGTTCTGAAATTCTGACATGTGATCGGTCCTCTCTTTCTCTGCAGATGCTGTGAGCCAAGGAGGTTTTCAGGTATGTGCTTCTATCTGTTTCTATCCAAGCACATCTCCCAGCAATGGAGAACTTGCTAGACGGGTCCTACATTACTTCCTGCTTTCTCCAAACTGCCTGATGTCATCGTTCCACACAAAGACTTTTACACCCAGTTAAAAGCTCTATAATACTGCAGAGCTTGTGAAAATGGGGTAAATATCAGTTATCTTTCAAATTAAGGTAATTTTGAGAGTGAAAATGCATCATAATAATGATAATGAAAAGATAATGATGAGCTGGATTTATCTCAGGCAACCTGAATGGCAGTCACTGTGGATCTGAGCACATGTGTGCATGATCTTGAAGCTACTCTCACCCTGAGAGACAATTATCACTGTTGTCTTTACCACCAAGCATTGGAATCTCAGTGCTTCAGAATAGCATTAACTCAATAAATACTTTGGAGTCTGACTAGCTGACTGGATTTCAAGAATGAAAGATTCAAAAATGCTTTGTAATATACAAGATACTCATCAGATGTGTAATGGAACATTATTTCTACTTTCTGAAAGTTAGCTTGCTACAAAAATTTTGAAATGTCCTTTTAATCTACTCATCTTATCTAAAAATATATTAAGAAATACTGATAAAAAGGATCTAAATTGACTTTTTCTATTTTATGGACATATAAATTTTCTTTTTTGTACTTATTCATTTGATGTAATTTGACTTACAAAATTGTGGGTAAAATTAGTGCAGAGAAGTATCACACAACTGGGTTCCTCAACTGCTACCCTTAGTAGAAGCATCAAATTCAGTAAACTCATATTGCCAAAACAACTGTTAACTGGTCTGTATCTTATTCAAATTTCACAAATTCCTTGGCTACCTAAAGAGTTTGAGGGCAAGCCTAGGTTATGTGACACTCTGTTCCAAAAAGAACACAAAAATTAGAAATTGTTGCAGAAGTATCATTTTTCATGGTGTAGAATTTAACCTAAGATCAAAGTTGGTATTTTTAAGGCAGCAGCTAATATTTTGAAAAGAAATATTAGATTTTTTCCTTAGAGTGTTGATTATGCTGCCTTAGTAGTTAATCAGTATTAGTTGAGTCATCAGTGATGAGATAAAGCTTGTTTTTTATGAACTCAAACAAGAAAATGTAGAAAAGATTTAAAAATTCAAGGATGATAATTTTTTTTGAAATTATATCTTGCTAACAAAGTGGCCAACCTAACTCCATTAACGTGAAAAGAAAAGAAGTGTGCAAATACTGAATCAGAGAAAGGTTTTGTCACATCATGGTGGACTCTCCACCACAAAATCATGTTTTCTAGAGTGTAAAAAATAGTGCAGAGATGTAAGTGACAAAGAATAAATGAAGCGTACTTGCACTTGCACTTCTTGCTGTGCCCATGAAAATGCAATGCCCAGAGAAGAGACGGAGGGGTAATGAAATGCTAACAAAAGGTATGGCTATTTTAGGAGTTTTTGCTTTCAATATATTTTCATTTTCATAATAACAGATGAACATTCTTAAAAGAATTTCATAGTTTGCAAAACTATTTTTTCTTGATGTAAGAATTGCAATAAAAATACTTCATTTAAATTGCAGGCTTTTTGCAAAAACTATGAGAAAAAACTGGCTACAGATGGAAAATCTTGCCCAAAGATTCATAAACCTGTGTGTGGCACTGATGGGCAAACTTACCCAAACCGCTGTGAACTCTGCAGAGCAGCCATGTAAGCACATGAAGGCCTCTATTAATGGGGCATTCTGAGCATGAGCTCAGAAATTCTTCATTCACATATATTGTAGTTAATTGTTATTTGAAGTAAAGTAATACTCTTTCCCAATCAGAAACCTAGAATGTTAAGTCTGCCCACTCACCCATTCCAGGGAATGAACCATTTCTATTCCATTGCATGTCTGAACACCATCTCTTTTCTCCTAGGGAAAGAAGTTCCAGAAAACTTGGTTTCAAACATGAAGGAAAATGTTGATTCTTCTAACAACAGTACAATATTGGATGTGCCTTTGGTTTGATCTTAGGTTAAGACACATGTTCCTTATTACCCAGTCTCCATGGCAATGTATTTCATGCAAATTATTAAAAGCACAGAAATTTTCAATAAAGTCATCTTAGTAGCATTTCTACATTGATGATTCAAAATATTTTATTACTTTTATTTTATGTATACGAGTGTATTGCCTGCATGTATGTAAGTGCACTCATGTCATGCAATGCCTGCAGAGGCAAAAGAGGGCATCAAATTCCCAGGAACTGGAGTTACAGACAGTTGTTAGCTGCCGTGTTGAGTGCTGGGATTTGAACCTGTGTCTTCTTCAGGAACAGCCAGTGCTCTTAACCACCGAGCCATCTCTCTGGCCTCATGACGAATTTTTTTTCAGATAATAATGAGAGCACCTTTATTTAGTTGAGTTGGATTTACAACACTAGTATGCTTATCAAATCTAGAACTGTCCAGTCAGTGCTCAGCTCTTAGGCAGCGTTGCAGATGATCCGAAGGAAAGTAAGACTTGATCCTAGGAAATGAATATGTATCATCTGACACCATAGTGCGTTCATATTGGTTTCCCTCAGGGATCCATTGTTTTATTATATGCCAAGGTCAGAAAGTAAAATAAGTGGAACAAAATATTGGTCACTTCAGTCATCAAGGAGCTTAGTAGGTTCTGGAAAAGCTGACCTCTCCAGGTTACTTGTCTATGGCTTTACCATTTTGGCATGGTGTAACCACAGAAAATATAATTTCTCTATGTGCAAAAAATGTGAAAAGGCTTGAAAGTGTAGATCCATTAATATGTTGTGTTATATTTTAAAGTCCAGCAATAGACAAGCAGCATTTTCAATCATTGTAGGAAGATGGAATTTATAAATTTGAGCTTTGAAAAATTTAGATATACACAATAATTTCATTCTTCAAACTTATGAAATGATTGACCTCAGGTTCAACATCACTGTGACAGAAGATGATTGATTTTCTCTATCCTTCATGAGACCTTACTCTAGGCATCAGAGATGTAGAGTGTTAATGTAGCAATATTATACAGGGCATGACCCACTGCAATATAAAACATAAATGTGGCTTATGCCTTCTTCCTGCTTTTCAATTCTTAACGTCAGTGCTAGTAGCAAATCAGAAATTTTCTCCATGTGGTTGGACTTAGATCTTTTTCCAGTACTGAGTTACACATAAAAACTAATTTTCTTTTTTTTGTCTAATTTTCTTTTTTAATGTATATTTTATTGACTTCTTATGGGTTTCATATAATATGTTTCAATCATTTTTAGACCTCCCCTCACTGCATCTTACCGTAGCCTGCCCTCAGAATTTCTTGCATTCTATCTTATATGTTAAAGCCTTTCAAGTGAAGTTTATGTACTCAGATGTCTCCCGGAGTGAGTTCATCCACTGACGCCTGTTCAGTCTATCTAACATCATTCCCTTAAAGAATATCAACCTTCCCTCATCCAGCAGTGGTTAGCTGCCAATAGCTGCTCTTCCAGGGTTGGGGCCTTCTGTCCATTTCCCCAGTTCTATGCTGAGTATTTTTCTGATTGATTTGGGTCTTGTGAATGCTGCCAACCATTGCTGTAAGTTCACATGAGCGAGTTGCCAGGAGGCTGTAAGACTTTCTTTATGGTCACGCACAACCCCTGGCTCTTACAATATTTCTGTCCCTTCTGCAATATTCCTTTCATCCTGGGTGGGTGATGCTTAATATAGGTGCTCTATCTAGGGACATGCACACTGCAGTCTCTTATGAATACTAATTTTTACCAGCAAGGATTCACTGATTTAACTGAGAAGTTCACAAGCTGATCTGTCTACAAAGTGTACATTCCCCATGTCTATAGTTCTAGAAATTGTATTCCCAAACTTCCATATAACCAAGGATAGACGTCCTTAGACATACTGTTAAAATAACTTTCCTAGATTCAACCATGGACACAGTAATTCAATGATTCCATGCTTGAGTATTCTTATCAAATACTTAAACTATTAGTAAAGCATTATTTTAAGTTCTAAATGAGATAGAGAGTTGGGAGCCAAAAGGCCAGAAGAAAAACATCTTTATGGCAGCGTTATGGTTTCTTGCAAATCTTTATGGCCTTGAGAAAAAACAGCTTTAAGGTTTCCTGCACATCTTTATGGCCTTGAGAAAAAACAGCCTTATGGTTTTCTGTAAATTTCTATAAGTTAGCACTTAGTTAAAGAATGTAGAAAAACAACTTGTGACCCAGGTCAAGTTAGCCTTGAGAAATGCCTACCACAGATATTAGTCCTGAGAAATGTTCACCATAGCCATTAGCAGATGTTCCTTTAGGATAAGAAAATAATCCTCCCTAGCTATAGCATCCACCTAACAACACCAATTAGCGTCTGCCCAGCACTTCCCTTCTCCTCACCTTCCATCTCCTCACCTCCCCCTCCCAACTACCAGAATATATGCCTGCTACTTCCAATAAAATTTTGAGGCTTGATCAGATCCTTGTCTTGCCTCCATTTCCTCACATTCCTTGTTTGTTTCATTCCTTCAGGTTATTCTCCCGACCCCCCCAACGTTGAAGCCACGCAGGCCGGGGCAATAGAGTGCATAAGATACCTCAATAAATAGTGACTAATATAGTTACTCTGGGACTTAATCTAATATAGATAAATCACAATTGGCACCACCAACTTAGTGGCTTAAAAATAATAGTCTCCCAGGCTGGAGAGATGGCTCAGCAGTTAAGAGCACTGACTGCTCTTGCAGAGGACCTGGGTTGGATTCCCAACACACATGGAGGCTACGAACCGTCCTTAACTCCAGTTCCAGGGGAATTCGAAGCCCTCTTCTGACCTTCTTGGCATTGCATGGCATGGGTGCACTCACATACTTGCAGGCAATACACTCATACACATAAAACAATAATAGTAAATAAGTCCAAGATGGTGATGCACACCTTTAATCCCAGCACTTGGGAGGCAGAGGCAGGCAGATCTCTGTGGGTTCGAGGCCAGCCTGGTCTACATAGCAAATACAGGCCAGCTGGGGTTACAGGGAGACCCTGTCTCAAAAAGACCAAATAAATAAATAAATAAATAAATAAATAAATAAATACACAAATAATTTTTTTTAAAAATGATCACACATTCACTAGCTCATATCTCCACAAGATATTAAGTCAGGGTTCAGAAGGCAGTGCTGCCCCCACCTATATTCTATATGGTGTTGTCATATGGGGTTTTCACTGTGATCTAGGCTGGCTTGAGTTAAATGCCTAGTATTTTATCTCATTTTTTAAAAAATGTTATTTGTTATTATTTTTATTTTATATGTATGCATGTATTGCCTGCATGTAAGTAAGTGCACCAGAGTCGTGCAATGCCCGCGGAGGTCAGAAGAGGCTGTCGGATCCCCTGGGACTGGAGTTAGAGACAGTTGTTAGCTGCCATGTGGGTGCTGTGATTCAAACCCCAGTCTTTTGCAATAACAACCAGTGTTCTTAACCACTGAACCATCTCTCCAGCCCCTTATCTCATTTTGAGGGTGTGTCATTTCATCAAAAATTCCAGATCCTGTAAGTTACGCTTAGACCAAAATCTATCATTTCTCCACACCCACTTCATACTTTTTCAAAGGCAGTAACACTAACTCAGATTCCAGGGAAGGAGAATTCGCTCCTGTTCAACAGAAGAATAAAGGGAGAAACAAGAATGTGTTGATGCTGATCTTTGTAATAAACTCTAAACCCTTGCGCTATCTTCAATATATGTCTAATTATGAATGTACATTATATGGATATGATTGGAATCAAGACTTAAAAAGCAAGTCACAAGGAAACCAATGACAAGTGTAGTATCAGATTGTGCAATTTAATCTCTTAAGCATAAAGATGGAACTAAAAAAATTTTTTTTAAGTCTTAAAGGGGTGGTAATGTGAAGATTAATTTGGAGGTTAGAAAGAGATTACACTTCACTTTTAAATCCCCAGAATTTACATCCTTGCACACCAAAAGATCTTCATATCATGAAAGTCTTGGGAATAAGTTAATAAATGTCAATTAAAACCTGCTTACTTCATGACTTTCTTAATTATGCTTTATTTTCTATTTTATTGTAGTTTAGTCCCTTTATGTGGGATCAACTAAAATGAAGTCAACAAAGATCATGAGTCTAGTTCCCTCCAGTGCTGATGAGACTATAATAACAATGGCTAATGTTAATGGCACACATGCATATGTGTCAGATATAAGTTTCACTTCAATAAATAATGATGAAATTAAATGCAGCTAAATTTCAGTTGTCATTGAAACTTTGTGTGCTGGAGATGAATTTGAAGTCCACAGCAGAGAAGTTATATAAATTCTTATCTCTTCAGGACTCATCACACTACAACTGATGCGTTGTGTGGAATGGGGAATTGTGTGAATTCATCAGTCAATGAATCAAATAAGGAATGACAAAGGTTCTTAAGTTAGGTAGGGGTTACTTAGTAGATGGCCTTTGGCCATTATTAATATCATAAACCAGTTAATGAGATTGGTTAACCAACTGGCAAGCCTTTCTCTGACAAGTCTGGCAATAAGACGCTGAATTTAAGAGGCATTGTGTCTCCTATGAAATAAGAATTATACTCAAAGATCAGACCAAACATTCAATTTGCCTGACTGGACTCAGTTAAATATAGTTGTGTCTATGTCAAAACAGTCTAGTGAATTCTATGAAGCTCATTTCTTTATTTTTTTGTGTTCATACTTTAGAATCCCTCCTGGAATCACAAGAACCAAGTCTCTGTAGGGAAGAACAGAAATCGAATAAAAAGGAGAAAGCATTAGCGAGTTCTTAATCCTTATCTTTTTGGTGCATGCCAAATGGCTTGTTGAGAGGAAATAAGGTAATTTGAGAAAGAATGATATGAGACATCTCAAGGTCAGGAACCCACAAGAAGCATATTTCCCTTCTGCTTTGTTTAAAATGCTTTTAGAGCACCCAGGAAAATATTCTGCATGGAGCAACACCACCACAGGCAACAGGCATCTTTCTGATCCACTCTCACACAAATAGCACAGGCCACATCAGGAAAAGGTTGATTCTCTTTCATTCCCAGGGCAAACTTACAAAAGTACACTGATTCATTCCAAGTGCCACCAAGGTACTAAACCTATACAAATAAATCTGTAGAATTAGAATCTGAATTGATTATTAGGGGCAGGGGATTGTCATTTCTATCACTCATTCCTTGAATATATCTCCTTTCCTCATCCAAACTCAAACACATTTTGCAGATGAAAAAGAGAAAAATTTTTAAAGAATAATAATAGTTCCAAAAAAAAGTATTTCCTCTCCACACCATGGCCAATTATCTAGTGAAATAACCACTTAAATGAATTATTTTCATGATTTTAGAAATAAGAAAAAGGGAGGCGAGGAGAAATTTTAACTCTCATAAACTCACATAGCCTAAAAAAATATTGGAAACTGCACCTTGGGTCATTGTTTCCTTTATTGTGGCTATTTACCTCCAGGCATAATGACTATTACAGGACTAGTATGATCCCACTTGAAGACATACAAAATACAATATCTCTTTCCCAAATGTGAAAATGTGAGTAGCGTTTTCTGAGCTTATTTCAGCCCACATTTTCAACCTACTCCCAAGTGTCAAGGAGGGTAAAAATGGTTGAGGACTCCCAAAGTGAAAGTGTTATCATTATTAAAAGAAGATGAGTTGGGGCTGGAGAGACAGCTCAATGGTTAAAAGTACTGAGTGCTCTTGCAGAGGACCCGGGTTCGATTCCAGCACCCACATTGTGGCAACAAACCGTCCTTAACTCCAGTTCCAGGAGAATTGGAATCCCTCTTCTGACCTCCACGGCATTGCATGACAGAGGTGCACTCACATACACGCAGGCAATGCACTCATACACATAACATAAAAATAATAAAATATTTTTAAAAAGTAAAATTATTGCCGGGTGTGGTGGCGCATGCCTTTAATCCCAGCACTCGGGAGGCAAAGGCAGGCAGATCTCTGTGAGTTCAAGGCC